ATTATATCTCTAATTATATTCCTATTTTACACTATTTTCAGTATTATTAAGGCTTTCTCTTAGGAATAGGCAAGAAATGTAAAGCATGTTTTTCCAGAAACTTGGCATATTTTATGTTGCTTCCCAGGGAATGAGGTGGTTGAGTTCAGGCACACTTGCAAGGAGCTGACAGCAGCGACAGGATTAACACACTACATATCTTCTCGTTCCTTTCTTGACATTAGATTTCCTGCCACAAGATGGACTAATCTGGGTGGTTTATGGGTCATCAAAAAATAGCTGTGGTCACTACCATGTCTTGTTGCACCAAGTTTCATTAACTTCCACAGGCAGATTTGAAGAACAAATATTCTGAATTTCAGAAATATATGAAAACCTGGAATTATTTGCAGCTTTAAGGCTTCTGGCCGCATTTTCAAAGGGTTCTTTAATAGTGTTGAAAATTGTGCAAGGCCAAACACATACTTGTAAGTCTGATTACCTATTTTGTGAGTTGATTACCTTTTCCATGTGATTGCCTGTTTTTGGCTAATTTGGCAAACCTTATGTCGACAAATTCCAACTGACTTCACTGATGATTTAGTCTTCATGAGGGCTGCAATTTAGCTCCTTTGAACATGAAAGCACCTCTTTGTGAATCCCTGCACCTTCACATACGTGCAGTAAATAAATACTCTGGTGAAATTTGTGGCACATTAATGTAGATGTTCCTTTCAGAATTTGATTGCTATCATGGCTGAAGTCAGTGCTGCTGCCTAACCAAGTGAAAACTGTTTTCTTTTTACAAAAGCAATCCACTCTTTTCTAATCATGTTTATAGGCCTATTCCAGACAGGTGGACCAGTCATACTGAATATATATGGAAGTGTCAAAGAATTTGTTTCATTTTGCTCTTCATATGACTGCCTAGATAGCTTCTGCTTTGAGTACAGAGACTCACTGTCTGTCTAAGTTTGTCTTCTCTTTTCTGGCAATATCCACGGAAGTTGGCATTTCTCCTCTGTGGTATCTGTATCTGTGTCCTGAGGGCACTGCTGGCCATAGCCATGGCTCGTTTCTGGCTAGACCATTTCTGATAACCAACAGTAAGATACTCACTGTAAAAAAAGGATTCACTGGTGGTTTTCTCACTTTCTTTTAACCTTCTACTGTAAAAGTGCTCCTGGCTCCAGAACTGTTAGTTGGGATTATCTATCTCTGTGGAAGCTTTCTTTCTGCCTGTGGCAGTGATGTGGACCCAGCCTCATCTCTCTGCTAGAAAGTGGTGGCTTTTAGGCCCTTCTCTCCTGAGAACTGGGCATCTGTCTGAAGAAAGGCAATCCCTCAAGTACTGATCTTATGAACTGGTTAATTTTTATGTCAGTCTGCATGCAAAGTCAATTTGCTCACATTTTGGCCAAATTGGCTCTTTGGTTATGCCACCTTCTGATACAGATGTTGAAGTGAACTTTCTTTCCTTGCATTTACCCCACAAGAACATGGGCACAGTCACATTAAGCGCAGTTGAGGCATGGTGTGCAAGAGATGTCCCTGTCATACCTCCCCAGAAGCTGCTTTGTGGCTGAATTCCTCTATCCTGGGTCAGGGAGCTCTCTGCCTGCCCAGCAGGTACAGCACACGGAGCAGCTGGGGACTCACAGCTCTTCCTTGTCCTTAGACTGGCACAAAAAACAGTTGCATATTTAGAACTGAATGTTTGCTTTTCACATTTCTGTCCAGGACTTTTGCTGTGAACTTATACAGTGAAAGGAAAGCTCAGTGAGAGTTAGTTCAGAGGCAAGGCTGGGAAGTCACACATCTAGTATGAACATCTATATCATACTTTAGGCTCATATTTCCTGCACTTTAATCAGGAAAGGTTGGGATGGGCAGGAAGATATTCAGGATGCCGACCTGCCTATAATGGAAATGGATAGTAAAAGAAGCCATGTAATCCCATGTGCATCAAGTGCACATCATATAGATCAGATAAATCAGAGAACCACAACGGCTGTAAGATAAGTAACTGTTCTCTTTCCTTCCTGATCTTTTATCCTCAGAATTGAGAAGCCCCCAAAACCATAGCTAAAATCCTGTTTAAATCATAAATTAATTTGTGGAGGCCAATCCTAGTTCTGCAGATCTGTAAAACTATTTTTGCCATATTTTTGCACGATTTAACAGATCTGAGACTTTTTGCTTGTGAAGGCACTTTCAATAACAGGAGAAGGGGGACATCAGAGGGGTAGAATACATTATTATTGGTAAAGCTGAGGATTTTTCATTCCCCACACATTCTGATTTTGGCATAGTCTGTATTCTTCAGTTTGCTTCTTAACTTTATTCTTGTCAGTCTCTTCTTTTTTCATCCTTAGTTTCCACAGACCACTTCTGAGAGACTCAATATGAGAAAACCTCAGTAGCAGAGTCAGTGAGACTTAAACACATTTTAAAGTTAAGCACATTTTAAACTTAAGTGCTTTGACAAAGAGGTACAATGTGGTAAAATGGGGCCCTGGTAAGAAGCTGGGCTAGCATTTGATGGGGAGAGTCGGCAGCCTTGAACATATCTTTTCATTGTTTGAAATAAAAGAACTTAGATGTAAAGCTGCTCATTCAGGTAGCGATGGCCTCCAGCGCTTCGGTGGGCTTTGTGGGCAGAGGAATTCAAAAGAAAACCCCTCAGCCCAGCTTTAAAGTCTTAGGAATGCTTTCACTGTGGGAAGAAAAATTCTTCAAGGTAAGGCCCCTGTTGGAGTAAAGCCTTTGGAGCTATCTACTGTATGTCTACTTAAATCTAAAAGAGAACTCTTCAGACCACCCGCATCTTTCTTTGCTTCATTGTTGTTTTCAGTTTGCTTTTTCAGAGGGATTAGTGCTAGAGTAAACTCCATCGTCTTGCTCCCTTGAAAAAATTCAATTTTGTGTAAAGTGAAAATTAGACTCTTAAATCTGCAAAGAGAGCTGTTCATCTTACAAATTTATTCTTTTTTATTGGGCCACACATATTCCAGATAGAAAGATAAAAGGCAAATGGATAACAGGCCATCATTTAGAGTGACATGTAGCAAAACATAGCTAGCGGTCTTATTCTGTAAATTCCTTCTGAGTGGCTTGTTAACTTTATCTATATATTTATCTATAATGTTCATATAGTATTTATTGAAAATCAAAATAAAATCCTGCAGTTTTTCATCATGCATTCTGTGTTTTGCACTTCAGAAAAATCTTATTGCACTCAAGAATTTTTTTTTTTTCCAAAGAAGCTTATGCCATAATTATATACAACTTTTGAAGAGTAAAAACAGGGAAAGTCTAAACTCTTTAGGGATATTGGAATTATAGGCTAGCACCTACATATGTTTTCCTAGACTCACAAAGACAAAATAGACCCCTATAGCATGAAACTTTATGTACTTGAAGATAATTCAAAATGACATTTACTAGCTTTCGAACTTAAATATTATGCTTTAACTCTGCAGTCTAAGAACAGTCAGAAAATCTTAAACAAGAATGTGATGCGAAAACTAGCAGGTTTACATTTTGAAAAGTAGTAATAGCTTGATTGCATATATGACTGAGATAAGCATATATATGTGTATATATATATATATATATATATATATATATTTAATAGATCTATCATCTCCTTCTTTCAGCTTTAAGCAAAATAGTTTAGATGAACCATTTTATAATATATACTGAAATGCCTGTTAGCGTTACCTTTTCCAGAAATGTGGTATTTGGGTCTCTGCTACTGTGAGAATAAATTTTATTAGAGACAAATATTTAAGTCTTTCTTATGTCCCATTACTTCCTTTTAAAAGGCAATGCTGTGTAAACTGCACTGTTTCCTGACAGCTTTAGTTACATATCAAATGGATAAAGACAGAACATTTTTAGTCAGTAGTTTATGGTTGAAATAATCAAGACTCTGCGTGCAGGTTTTAACTCTGTGCTCCCCACCTGGATCTAACCCAGATAGCGCAGTTCTGCACAGGGTGGGATGCTGTGTCCATGTGTCCTGCTCCTGACATGCCAGGAGTGTCAATCTGGGTCACAGCTTCGACATTTGCCATGGTTTTGGTGACATCATGCATTGGTGCTTATAGTGGTGCTGAATTGATGCTTATAATGATATTACATGATCCTCTGTGTACAAGATGATGGATGAGCCTTGTGTGGCTTGAATAATGACTTTTTTTAATGTCCTACATTTTTTGCAATTTTTATGTCAGTCTTTTGTAAGTTATTTTATTCCTTGCCTGCTTGGATAAAAGCAGTTCATTCAAGATGGCTGAAATGACTGTTTCTTTATATCAGGAGAGGGAAGAGGTGTCCTGGAGTCTCACCCATTGTGTTATGATGCAAAGAATAAGTGTAGCTGTGAACTCTGAAGGAGAAAACACAGCAGCTGCGGGTGAGAGGGAGATGGAATTCCCCCTCATCTGACCAGTTTTTTCATTGTTTTTCACATTATATAAGGCCACTCTCTGGGCTGCCTGTTGTAATTCCAGTGCTGAGATGCTGCAGAAGAGGTTGGTTAGCTCTGCATGTAGACCTTGTCAGTGCTGTTGGACTCCCTGTCTCTGCAATTCTCTTGTTTTAGGAGGTTTTATTATACTGGTGCAAACTTTTTCCCTCTAAAAGCCTACAGGTTTTCACAATACTTGTAAATTAAATAGATTCAACAAAACAACAATCTCAAACTTTTGGGGAAAAAAAATTAATAGGAACCAAGCAAAAGAAGAAATCAAACCAGCTGCTGACACAGCTGTTTCTTTTCTTGTATAATTCAGTATATAAAGGTACCATATGCTGCTTAAAATCATGATGGGAAAGATGAAATAATTTAAGACAATAACAAGAAAATACATGAATTGTCAGCATTCTGTCAGATTTAAAGAATGAAATAGACAGGTGTAGTATTGACATGTTTAACTTTGTGTTGTGTTAGCAGTTTTAGCGAGAACAACTTCTGACATGTGCTGAAGTGATGTGAGAACATTTCTGTGTTGCAGACCTTGGAGAAGAAGCTGGGAGATCTGTAGGAGTCCAGCAGCCAGCTTTACTGAGAGACAGGAGCCTTGGTTCTGCCATGAAAGACTGCCCATATTGTGGAAAAACTTTCAGAACGTCCCACCACTTAAAGGTCCACTTGAGAATACACACAGGTGAGAGGAACAAGTGAGCACTGCCTCGTGTGGGGAGGGGGGTTAACATCAATTGTGCCTAGGAGCCTTAATTCCCACTGTAGATTTGGACTTATTAGTTGGAGAAAGTCTTTTGAGAAAGATGTATGACAGTCTTAAATAAAAGCACAAGGAATGTGTTGTTGGATAAAGACCACTTTAATAGAATCATCTTTTCCCAGTTGACGTTATTTCTGTCTCCTTCCCTGCTTCATCACTGTTTCCTTCAATTACCCTTGTCCTTCAATAGGCATAAGCCTATTGGTTTCAGACTTAGTTATACTAACTGCTTCAAAGGCCTTTCTTAGCATCTGCTTAGGGATTCTGTATGTTTTTCTCAGTTACTATTTTTGTTCCATTTAGCATGCTCATTTTTAACCTCTCACTGTTCATATGAATGCATCAGCTCACAGATCTGCTTTTTTTTTTTCTCTCCACTAGAACTCACACGAATTAGTATTTGTAAGTAATAAAACTTACCTTGCTTAGCACAATGGTAAAATTTCCGATATTTTATTTCAGTAACAATCACTGCATTTTACCCTACAGAGATTTGCTACTGGGCTGGATACTCACTTTGTTTTGGTATTTCTCTCACTGGGAGGACTGCTCTCAATACTAGTTATTTCTAGCCACTCCATTCAAATTTTAGTATTTAATTTGCTTGGAAATACATATGTACATGGCAAGGTCCATGTAGAGACACAGTATGTTTAAGAAGACTTTATCGATAATTAAATTCTGACATAAAATGTTCTAATCCTCAGGTCCTGTTGACATCATTTGAAATTCTGTATGTGGTCAATAGGATCCTGTTTTCTTCCCAGGGTTAATTGTCATGGTAGGCTATGGGAGAGTATTTAAAACTTCATATTTGGGACACTTCTGTTTGGAAACAGATGTAATAGGACCCATAATTTTAATTTTCTTTTTAAACTATTTTAATTGAATTTCAGAATTTTACTGCTACTTTCCTAATAGGAAGGTAAAATAATTGCATGAAGAAATACATTCCAGTTATACCTCCTGCTTGAAAATCTTCACTTTTAATTTTTATTTCACTGAAGTACCAGATAAGCAATGTTTCCCTCCCTTCCTAAAAATAGCAATGATGTTTCTTCTATGTGTGTGCATAATACTTAATGTTGGGTTTATGAATGTGAGGCCTGATTTTGAAAAATAGAAAATTAAAATTATTTAAAGGAAAAAATATCATTTTTGAAATGGGAATATTTGTTCACTGTATTTATGTTCTTTCTTTTTGTATTGTGGACTAGGAGTATACCATGCTGAAATTTAAAATTTGGCGCCCTAATGTAATTTTGTCTGATTGTATTGCATACTACTTAGGGCAAGAATATTCTTTTCTGTGTGTTGAGCTTTGGTGATGGGGGAGAAGAAATCCAGTGAAAACCCTATTTGTGTGGTTTTCAATGTAGTAAAAGTAAAGAAATTGTAGTTATTTTATTGGAAAATAATCTTGTAACTCTGGAGGTTAAAGAGTTTGACAATTTTAGTATTTGAGAGGCAAAAAAAATTCTTCAAAGTAACATGAGGTTACCCATTACTTCCTTTTGTTTTACTATATAGTGAGCACTTTGTTCTTATGTTAAACATGGCAGTGATTATACACTTGGTATTTGTGCCTTAAAACTAATGGAAAGTAAATTAATTATAATGGAAATATTCCATAAAAATTGCATATTAATACTGACTAAAGAAAATTAAAACAAGAAAAAATAAACTGTATAATATAAATTTTTTTAAAGAAACTATGGAAACAACATTTACAATGTATTTAAAAATCATTATAATTTTAAAATAAGTAAAGATCAATTTCCATTAGGTTGAGAACAAAGTATTTGTAAATAATGACAAGAGTATGTTTAAGTGAAGCAATGTTTTACATATTGGAAATAATCCTAATAAATAATATAAAAATGTAAATTGGCATATTACTAGAGTTATTAAATAAAAATTAAGTTGCTTTGTAGTAAGTGGAAATGATGTAATAGATACCAGCTATTAAACAAATATTGGTTAGCTCATACTTCTCAGGGACAGTTTTCTGCCTTTTATGTCACACTCTGTCTTTATTATATGCCTGGATCATATAACTGACTGATAAAAAACACTTTACTGTATTTCTCCACTACATTAACTCAATTACTGTTCTTGTTCTCACAGCACCTGTTTGTTAGAGATGAGCTCAAGCAGTTCAGCAGAAGTCAGGTTCCTTGGAACATCTGTGTGTTTGCAGGCACACGACTGGGTTGGTTTGGTACTCATGCCAAGAGCAGACCCAAAGTCTGATCCAGCCAGGAGGTGCTTCTGTGGCAATTGGCCCAAAAAAGCTGCAGAAGCAGCTTAATCTTGCACAAGAGGAAGAAGCTGTGCTCTGTTTCTGAAGAATTAGCCAGTGGCTTGGGTTGCTTCTTTTTTTCTGTTGGATATTTCATGGTTGCAACCTACTCCACACTGAGCCCTGGCTTCTGTGTAGTTTGCTATCACATATTAAGCCTGTGAAGGTTAAAAAAAAAAAAAAAAAAATCAAAGTTTTATTTAGCATACTCAGTTTTGTCCCAACACAACTGTAGAGGATATTTCTTATCTAGCTCTGTGATATTCAGGCAGGAAGAGCTTTAAGGGGAAGATAGAAAGATATGATTTCTGATTGGTAAGAGGAAAAGGGCATAATTATGTGAAATCAGTTTCTCCTCTTTCTTGCTCTAAAAACAGTTGAGGAGTGAGACACTTCCCTGGGACAGCCCTGAATGGAGAGAGGAAGGATTTTCAGGCCAAAATACTTGCGAGCCTTGAGTCTCAGAGAGGACAGGCAGAGCTCTTCCTGCCTTCTTAGCTGAGTTGTTGATGTGAGCAGTGGGCAGAGGGGCTGTGCTGCCTCCCAGCTCCCCCAAACTCTGGGAGCAGGGGCAGGGTGTCTGTGCACAGCAGTGCCTGGCAGGCAGCTGGGGGCCCTGCCCACTCTGGGAGCCAGCTATAAAATCCATAACAGCTTCTCATGCAGCTGAGAAGGCTATAACACAAAAAGATTGGAGATGCTCAGTTTTTGTGAAAAAGGAAACCATCAGAGTATCTCAGACCTATCATGTGCCATATGCAGCTGCTTCTAGAGTTGTCATTTTGCCCCACTGGAGGCAGCAACTTACGATCCCTTCATTCAAGGAGCTGAGCATCTCCTTTATGTTCCTAAGCACTTCCAACCCCCCTGAAACACAGTAAGTGCTGTGGGTTCTACATTGCGTGCCTTGAACTTTGGACTGTGCAGAAACAGTTAAGTGTAAGACATTAAAATTTCCTATGTCCTGCCTTTGACAGGGGACACGTTATGTAGGAGCTGGTTTCAGATTGGCTCTAGCACCTCTTTGCACCCTGCATTAGCCCTCAGAAGCCACTGCAGATAAGACCAGTTTGGGTTTGTGCTGTTATTAGATGCTCAGGTATATTCCCAGTATGACAGACAAAATTAAATCCCTTGAGTAAAGAAAAAAGGATAATGTGTATGAGCAAAGGAAAGATGGTTCAGATTGTGCTAAACAGAAGGAATCTAAGAAAGAGATGAATAGGAAGGAAAAACTTGGCAGGGCTGTATCCATTGACTGAGAGTCTGTTACGATATGTGTGACACACATCGAGTATATATTAGATGTATTATATGCATTTACAGTGTTACTGCATTTTCCCTTGGAAATGTGACTAGCCAATTTTAAACCATGCTTAGATGAACTGATGAAATACAGTAAAAATGGTGCTGTTTTAAATGAATTCAATTCACATTTCCTTCCTAAAAAAAGACTGCCTGTTGCCATTCTCTGAAGGCGCTTGTAGTGGGATGAGCAATATGAATAATTAAGGAAAATGGGTATGTGTGCTCCAAGAGGAGACAATTTTGGTATTGAACATCCTTTATTCTTACATTTCTAAGATGAACTAAAAGGACTTTTCATTTCTCTAGATTCCTCCAGATTTCCCATCTTTAACATTGTACAGCATGCCTTTTCTCCTGTCTTAATGACATCCCAAACTTTTGTTGAAAATAATTGATTGAATTTAAATTTCCTTAAAAGTTTAAGAGGTAATGTTACAGTATAAATTTCCTACCAAACACTAAGTAGGGAAATATCCATTAGTGAAATTAACTACAGTTTCTAGGTAGCTAACAATGTGCAGTATACAGTAGGGCATGGCTAATGAACACTGCAGTGGGTGATATTTCATTATACAAATTAATGCTCACATTTTAATGGGAAAGTCACATAATGAATCTCAGCTTCAGTGACAGCAATTAGAGACACAGATTGTCCCCTTCTGGACAAGGCACTGTTTAGCAATAAGCAGCTGTGTAAAAAGTCTTCAGGTTTACAACGTATATATATGCTTTGGGGGAATTGTGTACAGTTTATATTAATGTACTGAATCTTCCCTGCAAAGTAACAGCCATATTTATCTCTCTGCATTTTAACTAAGTAAAGACATGTAAAAAGACTAAATAAATATTGCAGATGAGATATAAGTAATGGAAAATATTCAATTATAAAAGTTTATAAAAATTAAAATATTTTATAGTGATGGCGAGTGCACAGATAAAAAAATATTTAATAAAATGAGTAAAACCATCAAAATTCTGTCATTTCACAGGTAGTTTAATCTTATATAATAGAAAAAAATGACTAGTAAAGAAAAGTAGTAAAGAGGAGAAGATAACTAGTATTTCTGACAAACAGATTAATTGTGTGGTGAAACATGTGCAGGATCCAAAAATAATCCTACAGAACCTTTGATATTCCATTTGGTTTAAAAAGTGTGAAGTGAATGATTAGAATGATAAAAGAAATTACTGTGTAAGAATAGGCATAATAATGAACTAATTAAACCATACAGCAATTCATTTCTAAAATATCTACTGCACAATGGATAAAATAGGTTATCAATAACTGTTTCAATGGTAAAATAAAAAATGC